GATAGTGTTGTGAAGAATGGGTATTTCAGAACAGTTGATTGTGTTCATGAGGAACCTGTATATAGACCAAAAGGTAATTGTTTGAGCAGAACAAAGGGATAATGAATGGTTTAAAATAAGAAAATGTGTGTGTCAGTGCTATATTTATACACCCTATTTATTCACTCTGTATGCTGAGCAAATAATCTAAGAAGTTGGATTATATAGAGAAGAGTGTGGAATCAGGATTGGAGGAAGACTCATTAACAACCTGCAATAACAGATAATACAACTTGCTTGCTGTAAGCTCAAAGGACTAACATTACTGATGAAGTTCAAAGATGACAACCTCTAGTATGGATTGCACCTCAGTGTAACGAAGATAAAAATTCCCACAACTGATCTCTACAGTGAGGATTATTCCCACCCCCATGGTACACAGGGTCGACAGGGCTGGGGAACTTAGACATTGGCTACCTAAAATGGGGGGACTACAAAGACAAGAAGTGACTGGCTTACAAGCTTTCAGTAGGGAACCTAGTTCCAGAGGATACAGAGAAAGGTAGAACCTCCACTGAATTGTTTCCAACCTGCCTGGATGGGATTAATAAAAGGTGATGTTGGAAAGGACTCCTGTGGTTCAATAGGGAATAATTGCTATCAGGTCTGACAGTGAGTGCTGGAAAGGTAAATGTAAATGTTTGGTAACAAAAAGAAAGGAGTGGCTGATTTTGCAGTCCTGGAGTGGAGATCCCTGGAACCATCAAGAGAGAAAAGTGAAGTTAGAAACACTGTCTGGGGAGGCAGTGACACTAGGGATGGAGATAGAGATGATGACTTGGACAGAAGGAGCAGTGGGGACTCTGGACCCAGGGGGGTAGAAGGGCTGTGGGCTGGTGTGCTGGTGGCTGGCGGCTGGGTGCAGGCATGTGGGATGTAACCTTTGGGTGCTTGATGATGCATGTAGGGCATGGTGATGATTCTTAGGATTCAATTGTGAGTAATTGTTATCTTGACTAATTGTGACTGTCACAATTGTAAAGGTAGAAGTTTTGTAACAAAAACAGGGGAGTAATTAATCTTACAGTCCAGAAACAGAGGACCCTAGGACCATCAAGGGAGATGAGCACAAGCAGAATGTTTCTCCCTATCCAGAGAAGCAGTGATACCAGAGATGGAGGCAGAAGATGAAGACATGAAGAGAGGGAGCAGCTGAGGACTCAAGACTCATGGAAAGAGAGGGATTGAGAGCTGGTGGCCAGGAGGCAGGCTTACAGAATGTTTAAATTATTATATATTCCTGAGTGTTTTTGTGTACATCTATCCCCACTCCATCCCACCCTCCCAAAAAAAGAGAAAAAAAGAAAAACAGAGGGAATGGAAGCAAATACTGTTGAATTATGATGCACGGCAGAGATTGTAATAATTGCAGTGAAAGATGGTGTAAATCCGATGTTCTCCCATGTAAATTATCACTCAGTTCACAATTTAAAAAAAAAAAAAAAACACAACTTAAAAATCAACAAAAATCTCCATTAATAACTTGACCTTCATATGATTCCACTCTGATTGGTTTGCCACAGTGACGTTTTAGGTCTTCTACAATTAGTGTTGGAGTCTTGGTGTGCTGCTGTGGGTTAATGTGCTGGGCTCCAAAGTTGTTTGAACCACACAGTAGGTGGTTCAAGCTCACCAGCCACTCCTTGGAAACCCTCTACAGTGTCACTATGAGGTCAGAACTGACTTGACAGCACTTAAAAACAATTAGTGTCAATTCAGACTTAGTGTCAGTGTTGCTGTTATTGTTAAGTGCTGTCCAGCATTTCTGAGGAGTGCCTGGTGAGCTTAAACCCTTGACCTTGTGTTTCAAATCACCTTATGATCAAGTGTTTATCCTACAGTGCCACACCAGGATTCCCAAAATCTGATTATTTTTTTGACCCCAATGTAAAAGGCCATATATTTCCCTGAGAGAAAGACTAACAGTATAAATTTATGGCAATGTAGAAGGCTGCTTCCTCCTCAGCAATGTAGGGGACCAAGCTTCTGCTTCATTCACAGTGTTCTGGATCTGTAACTGGCTCAAGTTTGGTAATTGATTGAGAGGCCATGACTTTCTATTCTGCCAGTTCAGGTTAGACTGTTGTTCACTTGAACTAGAATTCTTCTACTTGTACTGATCAATTATTTATTGTTTCCCATTTATTTCACTCCTAGGGACTCTGTACCTAAGTATCCAATGCTACAGTCACGATTCAGACTGTTGTGACTATTACTTTGTGCTGTCAATTATGGTAACCACATTCACCTTGTCTTTGCTGATTAAGTGTTGCTACTTAGGCCGTACCTCCATGAGGTCAATCAGCCCCATTGTAGTTCGGTGTCTTAGTTCAGTTAGGGAAGTTCCCACTACCAAATTTGATTTACACAAAATAGCAATCACAGGAGTCTTCAAGAAGGCTGGAGCTCCATTTACAAATGTGTTCTACACTGTTGTGGTAAAAGGCGTGTCCTCTGGGCACTCTATGCAGGTCCACTATTTAAACATGATTTATGTTTCAGTGAACCAATGACATAAACTGTTAGGTCATTTTCTAACCTCTCTAGCTGTTATGAAGGATCTGTGATCAGTGGTCAACAAACTCAGGCTGATCCAGTTTTATGTTCCTTGCACCATTGATCCCCACCTTTACTAGCCATTTCCCACATATACTCCAGGTTTCTGTTTCTACAATAAAATTAAAAAAAAAAAAAAAAAAAGTGGTTCATTTGCAGTGTAGCATACCTCTTACAACTACACAATTTGTACTTCACCTTTTGGGGCCCATAGGGACTTAAGGTTGGTTATAGGTGTAGAAAAAATAATGGGTGATGTTTGTGTTCCCTGGGAGTATTCAGTAATGTCTTGCAAGACATTTGCTTCAGGTGATGCTCTAGACAATTTCCCAGGTGCTGCCCCAGGTGATATGTCTAAAAGTTACCTATCAGGAACACCTTAATAAATATCATCATCAGTGGCTAAGAGGGCTGGTTATGTGGGCAGAAATGATTCAATGGAATTTAAGATTTCTATGTCCCCTCTTCCTGATTTTATGCCCATATATCCCCATCCCAAGTTTCAGGATCCCAAGAAGCGCCCTCACTTTAATATCAAGTACCATCCCGGTGGGAATTCAGCTGGTGTTATAACTCAGCTACTCTTATAATAAGACTCTGGGTTGTAACTCAGCTACTCTTATAATAAGACTCTGGGTTGTCTTTTAATAACAGTTCTGCTACTGTAATAAATAAGGCTTTCTTTCAGGAAAAAGTAGAAACTTTGAGGTCCTTAATGTGGTGTTTGGGCAGTGACTCCTTAGCCCTGAGCTCATCTCTTTCCTTTACCACTTGGTCTACTGTAAGTAGGGCCAACCAACCAGCTTCTCTATATTTTTCATCCTGACAAAATTTCAAGAAAGTATCAAACACATAATTACCCAGAGCCTCATTTCTCTACAATACGTTATCTATTTACTGGTGGTGATATTTTGCACATTAATATTGCCACTCCCTGCCATGTTTAGCAGCACCCTCAAAGTAAGGTCAATTTGAACTGCAAGGCTGGCAGTTCAAACTTACCAGCCATTCCTCGGAAACTCTATATAGGTTCACTATGAGTCAGAACCAACTGTGCAACACTTAACAATAGCAACAGCATCCTTTTTACTAGTGAAGGCAGAGTTATAAGTGCCTTTAAAATTAGTCAGACATAATAATCAGTCTAGAAAACTCATCCTTATGATTTTGTTTATCTAGAACTAATCTTGGTACCAAATTTCTTAGGTTGGATTCTCTAGAGAAGTAAAAATAGTGAAGCTTGCATGTGTGTATATAAAGAGAAGTTTATATTGAGGAACTAGCCCACACAGGTGTAGAGGTAGGCAAGTCCCAAGCCTGTGGATCTGGCAAGTCATATAGCAGGCAGGTAAGAAGACAGGCTGCTTACTACTTCTAGGACTGGTAGGCAATTCAGCAAGCCACTGACTCAAGTTCAAAAATTGGAGGCCAGATCAATACAGCCAGATGCAGGATTCAGACAAGAAAGCTTTTCCTGAGTGTCTAATATATTGGAAGTAAGCCACACCCCTAAGGAGCTCTGGTAGCATAGTGGTTACGAATCCGTTCTCAAGTTTGGCAGTTCGAAACTACCAGCTGTTCCATGGGAGAAAGATGAGACTTTCTGCTCTGGTAAAGATTTACAGCCTTAGAAACCCTCCCTGTACAGGGTCACTATGAGTTGGAACTGACTCCATGGCACAAAACAACAACAAGCCATACCCCTGAGTAATCTTCCTTTCAAATGATTGGCTGCTCATAGCAGATCACATCATGTAGTTCATTAAATTACATTAAATCTCACCCTGGGGACTATTATTGTTTTAACATACCAAACCACTAGAATTCCTGGTCCAGTCAAGTTGACACAAAACCTTAACTATCACAAACCCATTACAGATCTGTCATACTAGAGTATTTCATAGAAAGTCAGGAATATACATTATTAACAATTTCCAATGATCATTATGTACACTAAGATTTGGGAATCACAGTCCTAAAACATTTTATCCCATTGACTTTTCCTTGTCAGAGAAATACAGTCAACACTATACATCTCTTATCACTAAGGATAGAAACTGTGTTTCCATTCACTTTGCATATACCAAAGCTTTATTTAGTGTTTACTTAATAAATACTAGTGATTTATTAGGTAATAAATTTAATTTAAATATATTTCTGAAATAAATAAGTCAATCTACCCTTATTCATCTCTAAGTTAATAATCAATCTTAGGCTACTTCTAGAACAAAAACAGTATTTAACATGTAAACAGAAAACACAACCTTTAAGAAGGGGAGGAAAAAAAAATACAAAATGGTCTCACCTCTGAGTCTTAGATGATGATAAATAAAACCCAATCCATGCAGTTCTGTTCTGAGGGTATAAATCCAGGAATGTGAAGGGTATTTCCTTCTTTGGCTTACCTGCTTATGAGCATGATCATAAGAATTAATGTGATTGTCAAACTCCTGGTGTTTGTGATACTGCTTGTCACATAGTTCACAGTAAAAGTTGGCCTTTACATCTTCTAGGGCCTTTGCCGTGGCCTTCTCTTTTTCTGCAAAATCCTTAAAAAAAAAAAAAAAAAAAAGGCAAAGACTTTGGTTTCATTTCTGTCATATAGCATAGCAATGGTCTCATATTAATCAGTAGCTAATTAAATTTACTTGACTAAATGCATATGATGAGGCTCATTACTTTTTCTAGAAATCTGCGGAATTGTGCAAGTGACTTTTAATATAGCAGTATCCCTAACTTATCAATGAATGAATGTGAGTTTTCCCACAGGAACCATCTTCTCTAGGCTGGTAATCATTCATCCATCCTCTTACCACCCATTTTGCATTGTGATTCTGCTAAATTACCATCATACTCCTTGTCTAATTAGTGACTCATGTCAAACATAAGCCCTCACTATCTGCATTGGAAGAACCTCTCTCCCTCACTATTTTAACAGGACTTTGATTAGATTATTTTACATTATTCACTTATTATAAAACAATACAGCAAGAAGTTCTCTTGTGTTTTAATGACTATGCAAAGGCATTTGACTATATAGGTCATAACAAACTATGGATAACATTGAGAACAGTGGGAATTCCTGGACATTGTGTTCATGAGGCATCAGTACGTAAACCAAGATGCAATCTTTCAAACAGTGCAAGGTGATAATGAATGGTTTAAAATCTGCAAAGGTGTATGCCAGGGTTGTCTCCTTTCACGTTACTTACTTAATCTGTATGCTGAGTAAATAATTCAAGAAGTTGGGTTCTATGAAGGAGAATGTGTCATCAGGATTGGAGACAGACTCATTAACAACCTATGATATGCAGCTGACACAACCCTGCTAGCTGGAAGTGAATTTGAAATACTGATGAAGATCAGAAACTACAGCCTTGAGTATGGATTGTATGTTAATGTAAAATGAACAAATTCCTCACAATTGGATCAATAAAGAGCATCATGAAAAACAGAGAAAAGATTAAAGTTGTCAAGGATTTCATTTCACTCGGATCCATAAGTCAATGCTCATGGAAGAAGCAATCATGAAGTCAAATGATGTATTGCATTAGACAAATCTGCTACAAAAGACCGCTTTAAAATGTTGACAAGCAAAGATATCAGTTTAAGGACTAAGATATACTTGACCTGAACCTTGGTATCTTCAATAGCCTCACATGCATGTGAAAGTTGGAAAATAAATAAGGAAAGCCATGTAAGCATCAATGGATTTGAATTATGGTGTTGGAGAAGAATATTGAAAGTAATATGGATTTCCAGAAGCATTAATATAAAACTGTTTTGGAAGAAATACAGCTACAATGCTCCTTAGAAGCAAGGATGGTGTGGGAATGAGTATCTTTTCTTCAAAAATTATTATAATCCTGTTTATTATATTCAGGTGACCTTTCTTTTTCCTTCTGATACTTCCTGAAGTGAGTAAAGACTTCATGCTCTCTCTTTTCCTTTTACTACTTCCTGAAGTGAATAGGGACTGTATGACCTCTCGTCTACTTTTTACTATTTCCTGAAATGGGAATGAGTGCCTTAGAAATTTGAACTGGCCAATCGGGTAAGGGAAAAGATTGTGTGGTCAAAGCCCTAGTCAATGGGGTGAGTTACAGCTTTAAGACTTGTGTCAGGGATTAAAAACCCCAGTGGACTGGCCACTCGGTGTGCTCGCTGGCCTGTTCTGTACAGCTATGCACATGCACCGTTCTGCAGGAGTAAATGTTGCTTTGCCAAGGTAATTAGCCTCACTGAGTGCCTTTTTGAGTGACATCAGAACTCATTTCTAACAATGGCATAACCTAGCTTCTTGTTCTTTGGACATGTTGTCAGGAGGTATAATTCCTTGGAGAAGAACATGATATGTGGTAAAGTGGAGAGTCAGAAAAAAAGAGTAATACGTCCAAGGAGATGAATGGACACAGTGGGAACAACAATGTTCTCAAACGCAGCAATTGTAAGGATGGCACAGGCTTAGATAGTGCTTCATTCTGCTGTGAATAAGGTATGTATGAGTCAGAACTTAATTAATAACACATAATAACAACAACATAGACTGCTAAGAGAACAAACAAATTTGTCCTGGAAGCTGTAAAGTGAGAATGCTCCTTAGACATGAAGATGGTGAGGCTTCATCTTTCTTACCTTGGACATGTTTGGAGGGACCAGTCCCTGGAGGACACTGTGCTTGAAAAAGGTTGAGGGTCAGTAAAAAAGAAGACCTCCAATGAGACAGAGTGATACAGTGCCAGAAACAACGAGCTCCAACATAAAGCCAATTGTGAGAATGATGAATGACCTGCCAGTGTTTTGTTCTATTGTGCATAGAGTTTTAGGAGTTGGCATCGACTCAAGAGTGCCTAGCAACAACCATAGAATACTCTACTAACTTGCTTTTCCTTTCACTCATCTATCAGTGAGTTGTAGTGTGGTGGCTTGTAGAATTGCTGTGATTCTGGAAGCTATGCCACCAGTATTTTAAATACCAACAGGGTCACCCATGGTGGACAGGTTTCAGAGGAGCTTCCAGACTAAGAAGAAGGACAGACAGACAACTTCTGAATGTTTAGCCACTGAAAACCATATGAACAGCAGAGAAAGATATTTACATATAATGCTGGAAGGTGAATTTATCAGGTTGAAAGAGTCTACAGCCTTTACTATGGA